GGAGAGCCGTGGGGCCATGGGGCCCCTGGACACATCCCCAGCAGCAGCAGGCTGGAGCCTGGGCGGCTCCTTGGCCACCAGCACCCACCACCAGTGTCAGGCCAGCGCCTGCAGCCAGGCATTCATGCATGTTGCTTGTTTCACGAGTTTGGGGAGCGGCAAGGTCTTCTGCCTTCTGGTGGAGCAGAGGGCAGGGGTGAGCAGCCCTGCCCCATGAGGCCCCAGCACAGACCACAGCCCTGCGCCTGCCTGGGCGCCCAGAAGCTCCTTGCGTCTTTGGGCCCGGGCGCTGCCCTGCCGGCAGGGCTGAGCTCCCCTGGCTCCCACCTGAAAAGGGGCAGAGGAGGCACCGGCTCAGGTGCCGGGCAGGACCTGCCTGCTCCTTCCCAGTGAGCATCCCTGCGGCACCAGCCTTGGGCTCCTGGGGCTCCCCTGGGATGTGTCCCCCCAGCAGGGATGCTCCATTTCAGCAGGGGAGGAGCAGCCCAGAAGGGCTTCAAGGAGTCCCTGGCCTTGCAGGGGTGGGTGGGTGGAGAGGGCGAGCCAAGCTCCCAGCCCCCCGAGCTCCCCACAGTGGGGTCCCCTTCCCACACCATCCCCACACTGCCTGCTGCAGCCTGCCCGGGCAGTGGGGGGTGCCCCAACCTGTGGAGCAGGGCTGTACCTTTGGCAGAGCAGCTTTCCTCTTTCTTGGGGTGTTCATGATGCAGGGAAGGAGGCACAGGGAGCAGGCGACAAGGGTTGGGGCGTGGGTCCAGGGCACCGGGAGCAGGGATGATCAGGAGAAAGGAAAAAGGGCTGGTCGGGAGTAGGGAGGAAGAGCTGGTTGGGAGCAGGTCAGAAGGGCTGTGTTGGGAGCAAGGGCCAAGGGTCTGTGTTGTGTTTGTCACCAGGTGACAATAGCATGGAACTTGCACCATGACAACACACATCTGCTACACAGCAGCAGGGGATGGGGACAACTCCTCAAGAGGTTGCATCGTCACGGGGAACATTGGGGAACTTTTATTTCACCCCTGAAGACAAATTAAACACACTTTTGTGCTTAAGTATGAAATGAACGAACACGGTCTTGGTCAGAGTCCTGTCTCCTAAAGTTGGGTCAGATGTCACACTCCTTTGTTATAGGTTCTGAAAAGATTTCATTTCTCACAAAAATAAGAAAAAGGAAGCATCTGCCTCTGGACAAACACACAGAATACAAAATTATTCCATATGTACCATTCACTTTCTTATCCAAAGAATATTCCTTCTTTTCAGTCTAGAAACAATTTTACAGAGAACAAAATCCAAAATCACTGTACTCAACTGTATTTCCTCTTAAACTACACAAGCTATTAACGCTTCTGTAGAAACTGTTCTATAGATCTGCTTTAAGATACATGTATATATGTGCTGAGGAAAGAAAGGGAACTAACTCGTATATATTTAAAATACTATCTGCAAACCACAGAACAAAGATAAGATAAATTCTGTAATTCTTTTTTATGTCCTTGCTTGTCTTTATTTCAAAATCATATTTAGCCTCTGCTGAATAATGATTCATTTATAAATGCAAAAGATCATTTAGCTTTGTGTTCTTTATTAAGACTTCATTATTTTTACAAAAATAGAATAGAGCATTAGTCTTTATTTTCAGAGGAGCATTTGGGGATACAATATATTTAGTTTATTATTGGCGATTCATTTAATTGTTAGTTTACAGCAGGTCTTCTGGTCACCACACAAATTGTCAAGCTTCTGCTATTATACATTAAACCCACAGAGATGTCAGAAAATGTTTTTCTACAAAAGTTAGTTTAGGATAAACTATCATGTTGTAGCAAACAAGGTCAAGAGCCCCTTTAAGAAAGAAACTATTTCATTGCCTCCCAGTTTAGATTCTCCATAGACACGGTCCACAAATGAAATAGGAACCTGTTGAAACAAGCAAAACCATTTTTAAGGTTCAAAACCTAAATAATCAGAAATTCTGTAAACAAAAGAATGGCCTTTGAACTACTGCATGTTTAGACACAGAAAGAAGGCAAGCACCAGATTGGCTTCCTTTTTCTAAGTTCTTCTTACCAGTGGCTTTAATGATGCCCCATAGCTGGGAAGCATGAAATTATTTGGTTTATTACCTTTAAAGATGATCCAAAGACATTACTCAGTGGCTGGATGATACACCAGTCAGAACAAACTTAATAGCTTAAGCGCACTAAAAGCCTGGGGGCTTAAAATGAACCTTCACCCCTTTCCTTGTTAGCTAAATTCAATACCTCTGAGCCAATCCCTCAGGAAGGCAAAAATCTCCTGCCACCATGCAACAGCATTCAGCTCAACCTTACCGCTGGCTAGAAAATTACATCTAAATATGGCAGGTAGTGCACATTTTACAAGCAACACCTGCATTTGTCGGTCTTTGACCATTTTATAGATTATTTACAGAATTAAGGGGCATTTAAAACACAAACTTTGGTTTCCTTACTTAAGTGACCATACTGTCCAGATTAACTCACTACTCATAAAATGTTAGGAACATACTGCTTTTCAGTAATTCAACCACGTAGAAATGACACATGACAGGACCTTCTGCCAACGCCCTATTAGAATAGTCAAGAATTTCCATATATGTTTGTGTGCAAAATTGAAATACTTCAGGGGCTAAAATAAAGAATTGCATTTGCAAAAGTCATTAAAAAATTGGCTTAGCATTCTGCTGGCAATTTCAACCAGAAATCATCTGGCAAGTGGAACACAAAAATCACCACACCCTTGCATCTGTGCCAGGACTGAGGATTTCTCACAATTCTAGCAGATCAGTCCATGGTAGAAGAGAACCCAGGGCAAGCAGACAATAAGGAAGATACCAAAAAGGCAGGCAGATTGACTCAAAAATTACTCTGGCTTTCTTACTAAGGTCCCTTTTATGATCCCAGTAAGCATCCCATCAACAGACACCAGACCTATGGGGCACAGACACAAATCACTGAATATTTAGTCAGTGCAGGATGTCAGAAGTGACATTTCCTAACCAGTGATGAAAGAATGGTTAATAGCTCATCTAATAAAAGGAATCCAGTCTTTCGCTTCAGTATAGGAATTAACCACCTGTGTTGTTGCTGGACTTTGCCTTTCTTGCATAAGAAGTTCTGTCATTAAAGGAAGCATTTTCAAAAGGGTGTATTCTGTGCATTGTGGTACATTTCACACATGGTAGAGAAGGACAGCAGAATGAAACAGAGGTGCATACAGGGCTACTAAGGATAGCTTATGTCAGCTCATCTCATCAGCCATTTGTTCCTTTTAGACTGCAGATCTCAATCTTCGTTTTCAACTCTGCTTAAGAAATATTTCACCCTCACAACTGTATCTACATTTTACAACTGCATAGAAACTCCTATTCTACCTGTAGAGTTGCATCACCTGCAAATCAGGAATTAAACATGTGTCATCTCTTCTGGAATTCTGATATTACTATTTGGATAATTATAAAATATATAAATATCATAAGTATTGATCAGGAAATTCCGTATTAATATGTACTTGAAACTTAATGGAAAATTGCCTGGCCTCAGGAAGTTACAATATAAAGATGGCACACAGAAAAGGAGAAATACAGTAGTCTTATTTATAGTTCTGTATCAACAATCTGAACACTGACAAGTTTGTCACAGATATCACAAGGGAAATCTTAAAAGACAGGGCCAAAGCTGAATAATGAAGCAACTCTTCAGATGTTGGAGAGAACTCTTCCTACATGTGAGAAACCAAAGGGGAAGGAAGATGCTTACTTGAGAATGTAACAGATGAATTGTTGAGGATGGCATAACTGACCCATCACAAAACAGAGCCTGTGTCTCAGCACTGACGGGGAGACATCGGGCCTCGTGAAGACTGTCCGTCAGGCTTTGAACCAGACGATAAATATCTTATACTTGATGCTACACAACCAGTAGAGGCACGTAAATAAACGAGTGATGGGATCAAATAATAGGCAGAAAAAAGGTCTTTACAGCAGCAGCTGTAAAGAGGTATAAGCAACCCAACACTGCATTTTTTTTAAAGCCAGAGAAGTGTATTTTACTGTTTTTAAAACTTAAAGTAAATAAAGCCTCACCTCATCCTAGGTTTTAGTATCTGGATGTATAGACAGGTGAGGATTTAATTCAGCAATATGTGAATGCAGCTGGATGTGAAGACCAAAGAAATTACAGTCAAGCCCCAGCTACACACAGGATAGTGATACTGCTCCATAAGCAAGAAAGGTGGAAGAAAAGAGTTTGCTTTATTGGGTGGAAATACTCTACCTGATGTTGATAGAGAAATTCAATAGGCAAGGTGTAGAGAGAGAACTACCAGCAACAGAATTCTTGGACAATTTAGTCATGAAAATTATGATGAACTGGTTCTGAGATTTGGCTGCTGAAAGAATTCCAGTGAACCATCTTTAAAGAAACCAGCAAGAGCAATTCAGCAAAACAGAAAAGGCGGCAATCAGACTGCTGGAAATATAGTATCTAACAATTGCTTGGAGTTCTTTTTCAATGATTGTAGACAGCATATTCAAAGAATTTAAAAGTGGAAAGTTGTGATAGCTGGAAAGTTGGAAAATAACAAGGAAATAAATGACAGAGAACAGAATAAATCTGTAACAGAATCAGGTTACTGGAGAAAAAACTGCTTGAAAAGATCTAACTAGAGATGTCTGTACAATACGAAGGAGGAAAAAAGCACTCAGAGCAACTTGACGGTATATTTTGACTTCTTTTCCCCCTTTGAAGAGCCTGGTAAAACTGTATGCAGCTAAAGAAACGGCAACAGGAAGAGGGAAGATCTGAGAAGCGTATCAGCCAGAGGAATAAGTAACTGGAATTTCAGATCTGGTATTCACCTGGAAAAGTTGGAAAAATAGAGTTCTACATATGTAATTTCTTTATATCAATTTGAAAATCTTTCTTGTTTTTGGCAGCGCACAAAATTTCCTATGCTCCCAGTAACCTGTATCTACATTTAAATGAAAACACCATGTACATATCAAAACTTTTACTATACCTCTCCAATAGTATATCCTAACTGTCTAGCCCGAACAATCATCTCCATCTGGAAGACGTATCCTTTAGAAACACATTTTTCCATTAGTTTCTGTAAGACTTCTTTTCTGTATAACCTGTAAATGATTACAAAGAAAATGAAACCTGAAGCACAATTGATGAACTACAGAAATCAAGACAGTGTGTAGGAATCTTAACGGTAATCAATTATATCATTACTATTTAAAGAAAAAAAAAATTAACAAAGTCACAGGAGCAACCCTTCTTGCAATCTAGTCTACTATTTCTTACACGCTTTCCAAACAGATTTCATATTCCTCAGTAAAGAAGGTCTGTTTTTACTCCAGTTCCTTTTTCAGCAGTTTCTTAATTTCAAATAAACTTTATGAATTGCAAACCAGACCCATACCTGAAACTCCCTGTTAAGTCTGATGCACCTGGTCTCAGCAAAACCTGAGTTAGAAAATTGGCACCACGACTGTGAAAGAAAACATGAACATCAAAATTACTCAGTACACAACTCCAAAAGATCAAGCAGAGTTTCTAGAAAGTATCATCCTACTAGCCAAAAAAAAGAAACCTTTTTTTGCTTAATATGAAACAATTATATTTCTTATATGTCTTCACTGCTCATCCTGAAGCCAAAACTCAACCTTTTGGTTTTCAAACATTGATGATTAGTAGATTACTGAACTTCTCTATGAAGGAAAAAACAAACATTTTTTAGAAATTAGATTCTCAATCTGGTTCTTTGTGTCAGAATTGTCACTACGGCTACATACTATTATAATACAAAAGAAATAAATTTGACCACAGTCAAAACTACATTTTTCTTCTGACTAACATTCAGTGTAAGGGGACAATAAAAATGCTTCTTTGACAAACATGAGATTTGGATGTAGAAAATCAACATTCAGTTTTGGTTTCCGCTGCTTTCATAGTATGATAAGGATAAGCTCCACTGATGAAACATGTTGCAAGACCAAAAAGCCAGTCACAACCACGTTGCTGAGGGCTGTATTATACACTGATAAGACGTGGAAGTCCTTCACATTGTCAAGTATGATGTAAAAAAAAATCCTCTGTAATATCCATTTATCTCTCTTCCTTTTTTTGGGTACATATTTTATTTAGATTCACAAAAGGATGAGCACTTATTCCAGAAATCCAAATACAGTCCCTGTGATACCATCTCCAGATCAGACTGGTCACACAACTTCTGTTCTTTACAGTAACTTATAAATCAGCATGAACTTACTCCTATTCTCTTAAGTAAGGCGTAAGAGAAAGACTTTCTGCAGAAGAAACTTGCCGATTATCTCCTGAAAAACTGGGAGTCCATATAAACCTGAGATTCCAGCCTCCATACGCTATCACAACCTTGACATCATTTTCCCTCTTTGCTTTGGGGTGAAACCTCTCCCTGCTGCTCACTGTAACTATTTTCCAGTAAGGTCTAAATAATGATTTATTGACATTGATCGTGCCAGATAATCCTTAACTTGGGACAAATCAGAGTGTCAACAGAAGGGTTTAGCAAGTGATTTACTGTTTAGGGAAAGGAACATTATAGATCTTAAAGCTAACTAAATGTGTCTTTTAAACCTGACAAAAGTGTCACAGTCTCAGCTCATTCCTTGGATGATGAAGCCAGAAAAACTGTCCCACCCTGATACCCCGCAGATTTGTCCGCTGTTAAAACCCATTTCTCAAACCTGGTTGTATCATTACATTCTGTCTTGATGGGTTTTCTCTGTGTTTTAACCAAATAATTTGCAAATCATGCAAGCTTCTATAATTTAATATAATTTCGCAGTACAGTACCCAGTACTATGACGAAAGACTCAGTACAGCTCACGCATACTTATTGTTTAAGTACTTGGAATTCTTATACATTTCTAAATAAGAAATTAATGTGTAAATATCTAGAAAAATACTAACCTGATTAATTTTCTTTTCAAATCCCAGCCATATACTCCTCCATTTCCTTTATATCTTGTTCCCGATACAATATCAAAATTCCCTTCTTTCTGCTTTCTATAAGCAATCGGTTTTATCAGAAAAAGAGGAGGAATATTTGTATGAAGGTAGTACAAATTTCAAAATAAGAACAATCACTCTTTTAGTAGAAAATCTGTATTTTACAAACCTTTGAACAAATAAGTAGAGAAGAGAGCAAAGCAATAGTTATGGTGGCTCTAAATATTATGTATTTAAAAACCTGTTAATGGTTTTCTTATAAAGAGCTGTTTCAGGGAATCTTACGATTATCTTTTATCAACTACGTCATACAAGTTCACAGACTACTTAATCAATAATTTATAAAGACCAATTATGCACTTTTAAAGCCTCCCTCTTTAAATATTTAAATTACACAAGCCCACCATAGGGAAAAAAAGAAGCCTGGACCTATCCTTAGTCCATACCATGCCCAATGGCCGCAGAAACTCATCTAAAATTTTACGCTTCCAGTACTACTAAGCAAGAAGGTTGAAAACGACACAGACTTCCACCCTTGCTCTCCCATGTAATGCCTGTTGACCGTTTCTCACAAGCTGAAATGTTACAGGGAGAGGAATGTAAGCGGCAGGCAAAAGGGAGACAAGTATTTCACCAATAACTGAGGACATGGTCCTCTAGTCAATATCCCTACATGCCCACATGCTGAAATCACTAGAATTAGAAGATGACATTTATAGATATGCTTTTCAAAGCTGAACAACCATTACAAGAGAAGTACTTTGCCATGCATGCTCTCTGTTACTTTAAACCTGAGGATTTTTGCTCCAGTTAGGAGCTAATTATTTTTCTCGATTATTTTGGGACACATCTAATGAGGTCCAATCACTTTTGAATTCTTGCCTTGCCAAGACAGCTACACAAGAATATAAAACTTTCAGATATTACTATGAAACAATAAGAGTTCAGAAGTCATTCTCTCATATGACAATCGGCACCTACCTGATAAACTCTGGAATAAATTTAGGCTGAAATGGAAGGAAAACACATGAGAAAAAAGAAATGAGTAGGGGAGAAAAAAAAACAATGAAAATTTAATTATAGCAGATTAAAATCAGGGCACAAAAAAATACAGCAGACTTACATGGTGAGAGAGGTCAGCATCCATAATAACAATAAAATTCCCAGTGGCGTGCTTCATTCCATGAATATAAGCAGTGCCTGATGAAAACAGTACAGAAGTAATTTCGCCTCACTATTTTAACATATACAATCTTCTAGCCACAGTCTTCACCTATTCTCTAACCTCCAAGTTATACTAGAAAAGGATCAATGAAAAACTCCTAAAATTTGTTTTAAAACTATGTCTCAGTGGTCAATCATCAAAATATTTTTTCTTTTCCCTA